ACAGCAGCAGCAGCAGCAGCAGCAGCAGCAGCAGCAAATTTATCTGTGGCGTGTATAATGCTGGGCATTGCACGTGGTGCAGGCAGCAGTGCTGCTGCTGCTGCAGCAGCAGCAGCAGCAGCAGCAGCAAGAGGAACCACCGTATCATCCCGTTGCATGCGTAGCAGCAGCTTCCTATTCTATCGTTCTCCCTTCCTCTTGCATGCATCCCCAATCAGCAGCAACAGCAGCAGCAGCAGCAGCAGCAGCAGCAGCAGCAGGAGCAGCAGTATGACATCTCTCCTTTCTCCCTCTCAACAGCAGCAACTACAGCAGCACCACCGCAGCAACAGCAGCAGCAGCAGCAGTATAGATAATATTTGTGACTTTATATATAGATGGATAGACATAACAGGCTTCTTTTCTCGTTGGCTAGATAGAAAGGAATATATAAAAGAGTTAGATGCATGCAGCCGCATATCTGCATGTTTGTTGACAGAGTATGAGAGAAAGATGCTGATGTTTATGGGGCTGCATGCGTTTATATTTTTTAATATATCTTTNTGACAGAGTATGAGAGAAAGATGCTGATGTTTATGGGGCTGCATGCGTTTATATTTTTTAATATATCTTTATATTTAACATATAAAGGGCATAAACATAGCTCAATAAAACCACCAACACCTAAATATATTTATTTTTCTGGCGTTGATGGGAGAAAAAAAGATTTTACGTGGCACGGTAGGCTGCTGTATATACACCCGAAAGAGAGATGCAAAGAATGTAGATGGTTAGATTTAGAATGCAAAAAAAAATGTTTTAGTTTACTTAAACAACAACATATTCCTCTTGTGCTTAATAAAGGAGATCCTCTTTCGGTGCCGAGAGATAAACTGCTGCCGCCGCATGCACATTGAGCTGCTCCTGCTGCTGCTGCTGCTGCTGCTGCTGCTGCAGCAGCAGGGGTGCGCTGCTGTTGGTGCTGCTGCTGATGATGAAAAAAAAACAAAAAAAAAAGAATTTAAGAGAGGATATGGAACACAAGGAGTTATGCTAACTATGTGCTTGCTGCAGCAGCAGCAACTGCTGCTGCTGCTGCTGCTGCTGCTGCAATAGTTGCGGATGTACTGCAGCAGCAGCAGCAGCAACAACTGCAGCAGCAGCAGCAGCAACAACTGCAGTAGCAGCAGCAGCAACTGCTGTGGAGCTAATTTACTGGCAGCAGCTGTTGCTGCAGCAGCAACAGCTGTTGCAGCAGCAGCAACAACAGCAGCAGCTGTTGCTGCAGCAGAAGCAACTGTTGCAGCAGCAGCAGCAGCAGCAGCTGCTGCTGCTGCTGCTGCTGCTGC